AACTAAAATTTTGGATCCCCTAAATAGAGGGACGCCTATAAAAAAAATCAAATACGGGCAACCTTCTAAGATACTGCCATAATTATTGATTACCTGAGGTCGGCGTGGTCGAGTCGGTAAAGCTCATGGTTGCTAAACCGAAAAGTCTCGAGTTCGAACCCTCGGGCAGATGAGGCTCGTTAGCTGGGACAGCCACTCTTCTAGGAAAGACAACTCCAAAATTAAACAACTGCTGCCTTGTAGTTTGTTCTTGGTTGGACAAAGGCTATGGAAGCAAATCCAAAAAGAAAAGCAGGCTGAAATCGGAGTCAATGGCCTCAATGGCGCATAACCAGTTGACACGTAACGCTTAATTGTGTTAGAGGCGTGGTCGAGTCGGCAAAAAGCTCATGGTTGATAAATTCGAACATAAGTCTCGAGTTCAAACCCACTGGCAGATAAATCTCGATCCCCTTCAACACTAATATTTAAGAACGAAGAAGAAGAAGAAGATTGATTACCTATAAAAAATTAATTTGAAAAAACAAAGTTTACGGCTAGTTATAAATTCCAGCCTATATAATATTATATATATATATATATATATTAATACTTTAAGAGTGATAACATAGATTCCTAAAAAAAACTCAAGATTTTTCAGCTTTCTATGTAGTGTATTCCGCCCTGAATTGAAATCATCTAACGTACGATAAACTCGACTACTTGATATACTCTACTAAATTCACAACACATAACCAACCTCGATACCTAAACATAACTAGACTCGATACTCCAGAACTACGACAACAACTCGCTTAACTTCACCAAGCTCTACAAACGATACTCCAAATCAACAACGATTTCACTGGACCTACTACTACACGTTAACATTCGACACACTCGATACCTTAATATCGATAGTCCCGAACTCAAGAACGACGATACTTCAACACCCACATTCGCATTTCTCTACTACCAATTCGATTCCACTAGATGTTCAACTACACGACAACAGCCAAATAAAAATACGACACCAAAATAAAAAGGCAAAGTAACTGGTCAAAAGCGCCCGACCTTTCCAAATTAAGGAGGTGGGGGTGCATTTTCACCACGCGAACAAATATGAGCCTATATAGGCCTAATTTGGGGGTGGGGCGCAAAATTGATAGTTCGTCCAGGGCGCCGATATTGATCGCTACTCCTTTCTATATTACCATCTATAGTTTATAAAAGATAATCAAAGTTATTAATTATAAGGTACTATTTTTTATAGCAGCGATTAAACCTTTTTGCGCCCCCCTAGGGATGGCGCCCTAGGCGACCGCCTAGTTCGCCTAATAGGTAGCACCGGCCCTGAGGATACGTAAATCCTAAACAAACCCTAATTCCAACCTAATAAAGTAAAGTAAAGAATCGTCTTCAAACCTAGCATTGGAAGTAGAGTTCATATGATTTTTGGCCTCGGCATATGAAGGAAGGGCGCGTTCATCACTTTGCCCAGCCGCCTTTACTTTCTCTAACATGAGTTAGATGTCCTTCACAGCTGGGTGGACCCAGGGACATTATACTGACTTGGATTCGGATTCGAACTCGAGACTTTCGTGTTAGCAGCCTACCGCTTAAGCCATGCCGTCCCATTTCAGACCAAATAGCCGGCAACATGTTTGTTTTTAGTAAAGAGCTGTTTAAAATCACTATGACTACTTTAAATTTTCACATCGATTTTCTTCTCTATATACTAGGCAGCGTTCAACCTAAAACTCCTAGTCGCAGTTACTGATTCTGAGAGCCACATTCGTTTAACCTGAGCGCTGTATCGGAACCCAAAGCCAAAGCTTGCCGAGGTTAAACTATCTACTACAGATACCACAGATTTATTTATGGCTAATCGGACCTTGAAATGTATAGATGGAATACAGTAAAAAATCAAGTTTTGTTAAGATATTCTATGTCAGAGTTTTTACATTTACACTGGTAAAAGGATTAACGTTTTATTTTTTAAATTGAAATTGTAAACCTTAAAAAAACTTTCACTTCGTATGTTCATTGATGAATGTTAAGATGTTAATCAAAATACTTAATTAAACAAAAGAAAATATATTACTTTAACTAAGTTCCGTGTGATTGAATATTACTTGTGTGGGTGGTAAGGGACTGGTACCAAATGGTGTTGTGATGAGGGCTTTGGGTGGATGAGCTCCGATAATCGATTAGGGTTATCTATCGATTTTACGGATCTATTGTGTAGACAATGATACGGCTCATACGTTGATGCCATTAGTGGGCATAATCATCATCTATGGTGGCATTTGTGGGCATTTGTTACAAGGGCACAACGGTGTCGTTTGCAGGGATAACTGTCATTAGTTGAACGCCTATAATCACAAATGCCATCGTTGGTGGCAAATACCGTTGCTATCTGCGGGCGAGGTTAAATTGTTTTATTATCACTTTATTACAAGAAAAGTATTAATTTTTCCCCACATTGAAAAAGGTGCCGTCACAAAAAAGCACTGTATATAACTATAGAAATAATATGGATCGCGGGTTTATTAATATGTCATTGAGTCCTCTCAGCTCTAATGTGTACCCGGCAGCTTGGTCCAAATCGATCAGAAGTATTTCACATATTGCAGTAAATTAAACTAAATTTAAAATTACACCATTTGTATGGTAAAAAAATTTCACCCTTACCTTTGTGTGTGTTCCAAAAAAAGAAATCACAATTCGTGCAGAAACACAACGTGAAAATAAAATGTTTACTCGTTGCGTGTGTATAGATCTAGTCCATGCGCAACAATTGTAACTGTCAAGAACAATAATCCTGATGAGCTTAGCGACGAAGGGGAAACAACAATGGCCCGCGACTAGTGAACTGTGTGTGACCCGGTGCGAGAAACGCCGGTACCTTCATTATTAGAAGGGCGAGCGTCATACTGTGGCGGTAGACGAGCCCGCTTAGTTGTGTCGTCCTGTACGGCGATAGGAGGCGAGGTCTTGAGTTTCGTGGGTTGTTTCCCTTGGTGTAGGGCTGTATTGGTTATTGCCCTTTGAAGTATACATTTAAATTAAAATTAAATCAGATCTGCATTACTATTTAAGATGTAATCAAAGTTATTATTTAAAACTCTAGAACGCAATTTTATTCGCCTACTAATAGAGCAAAAAATCATGAATCCATACATGTTAGATCAAGGGGGTCATGTTGACCTTCTAGAATAAATAAATAAATAAATATAGGCCTATATATATATATATATATATATATATATATATATATATATATATATATATATATATATATATATATTTTGTGTGTGTGTGTGTGTGTGTATGTATGTATGTATGTATGTATATCCTAACTAGCCGTAAAAATTAGCAAGGTCCCCACACCTTCCTGTGAATTTTTCCCTCTCCATCCCCTATCCTATCTCCGCCGCTTCTCTGTAAAACAAATATTGAGCCCCCCCCCCCCCCCCCGGTTATTTGTCTAAACACAAGGAGATGACCTGTTTCAATTAAAACACATTTGAAAACCGTTGCAGTAATAAGGATAGTTCTTGGTTCTAAATGTATCTTACCCTTCACTTACGTAACTAAAGAGAAAATTGCATTTTAACTTTGAAAATACTAATAATCGTCATTGATGAGTGGGGGGGGGGGGGGGAATCCTGACAAATTATTAGTCTCTCCAGGAAATTTAAGTCCGCTCCCCATCCAAAATTTCAAGTGCTGAAAAGTGAAAACAAACCCCAAATTGACAGATAACAGAGAGCCGTCATTTTAAAACAGAATGACGATGTTGTATTTGTTTGCATGTTGTTTGTTTTTTTAATGCAGAAGGCCTCCAGTCGAAGGTTGAAGTGTTATGTCTGAGAACTATGTGGAATAGTTAGTTATAGATTTCCTTTTATATAGAGAGATCTACCACTTATAATAAATTTAGTATTGAGGCTAGGGTAATCGCTAATATTCAAATTAGGGGAATATTTAAAAATTATTAATGATTGTGTCTGTGGAAGAATTGGTCGCATATGGTGTTAGGGGAAATAACCGAGAAAAGACCACTGTTCCGGTTAGTTGTACATTCAGTTGTGTTTCCTTACAGTTTTTAAATGCTACACATTTTCTTACCCATGCATATTTATAAGAAGATATTTATAATTTAGTGCATTTATATATATATATATATATATATATATATATATATATATATATATATATATATATATATATATATATATATATATATATATATATATATATATATAATTTATGCCAGGGACGAATGGGAAAAACCGTAACTTAATTAGGATGTAAGATGAGGGTAAAGGCAGGGGGTGGTTTCAGATAATGTGACGTTTGCATTTTTTAAAAAGTAGGCCTATTGTTAGAAATTGAATTTTAACCGTTATTTCGCGATTTTTAGAAAAAAAATAAAGTTGCAATTTTGGGTTGAAAGCTGAGGTGTGACATCATTTTAGCGGTGTTAGGGGGGGGGGCTTTTTGCGACGATATATGGCGGGGGAGAAAGAGGTAAAAATCTTTTTTTTTTAAAAGCGTGACGTCGTTTACGGATGACCCCAAAGACTTGGTACTATATTATCATTTATAGTAGAGGCATACTATAAATCTAAATCTTTCATCACAACAAACTAAACAAAAAAAATAACGATTTAGGCAACAATACAAAAAACTTAACGAATAAACGTTTTAAAATAGCTGTTTGGTACTTTATAGATCAATGATATAAGCATATTATAGATATGGACCCCAAAATGAAAGTTAATAATACACGTTTGTTTCAGCATCGACGATTGCATCGCAATACAAGTACACAATTTAGAATGTGAAGTCATAACAGATACAATTTTGCGCTCTTAAAATTAAAATCGTTATAGAGCAATGTTGATATTTAGGCCCAGGCATATTTTTATTTACAAACCAAACAAAAACATTGTTTATTTTGATGGTCACGCCCACATTATAATTATTGACCAACCATTTTCTAGCAGTCCTTTGAGTGCGTAGCTTACAGTGCTAAAGAAAATGGCGGCGTTTCCACCTTTGCCTCAGGTACTAGTACCAAAACATTCATTTCAGATTCATTAATAAATATTTGCGTATACTATTTGTCAACAATAATGTATATAAAGATGCTGCTTTGCTAACAAAATGATTTCAGTTATTTTATTTTGACGCATTTATGTGTGTCGATGGTGTGAAACAGACAAAACTGAGTTCTGTTTTTTCTGTTCTCAGACTCAGTCTTCTCAGTCTCTTCTCACTTTTTTTTCGGAAGACTTCTCTCCCACTTCTTATTTTATTATTTAGTAATATTTAGATTAGGCTATATTTTTTATATTTATTATACTAAATAATTTCTCCATATTCAAGTTACAAGAATTCCTGGGGGAATGTTTATACCAGTGTCTGATAATAGAATAGAATCTTCTTTAAAAAAGCCTGTTTGGCTACTGCTGTTAGGATAGGTTACTGCTGTAGTAGATCTAGATATCTAGATCTAGGTAAAGAGTAAAGACACACATTGCTGGCTAATGTGAATGCTAACCCTGTCCCTAACCCCAACCCTAGTCTTACCATAGGCCTAACCCTAATTAAATTTATAACCATAAAATTAATCAAGATTAAAATACTTAGGCCTAATACTAGCTAGGCCAATGCCGCTGCCGAGAAAATCGGACAAATCGGCTTTTCCCTACCCCTTGCATGTTTAACTCTGTTTTTTGCATGCTTCTGTTGTGTTTATATTAACATGTTATACATCATTCTGTTCGTAATTGAATAACCTTTTTAACTGTATTAGTTTGATTTCTCTATTATTTCAGACGTTGAAGAAATCGCCGATTAAATCGCATTTTTTACCCTCAGCGGCGACGTGCCGATTAGGGGGGAGGCTTTTTCACCTTTTTAAAAGGGGGGTGTTACTTGGAGTCTATAGACTCTGTGAGTTTTCGTACTACAACTGTGAAACTTGGTAGAAGAATAGATTAAATGTACACGTATAACGCTCAGGGTTCTTGGTTAAAATATGTTAAATACTTTCGGAGATATCAGACCGCAAAGTTAAACTAAGTTATTTGAGCTATTTATGGATCGATTTTTTATTTGAACCCTGAGCTGTATTCCTGAAATCTCGACGTTTATTAATATGTATCATATGTCCTATAAGGCCCGATAATAAGGACGTCTATAGACTTTGAAGTGGACCGAAAATATAAACACGACGCGCCGACCGCTGTCTGACTGAACCGCCCTGCTGTGCTTCGAATCGCCGTCTTTAACCTGATGACGCGTTACAAAATTTGTATACACGTATCGAGTTTACGTACTACAACAGTCAAATTTGGCAGACGAATACATTAAATGTAGACGTATAACGCTCAGGGTTCGTGGTCAAAATAAGTTAAATACTTGTGGAGATATCGGACCGCAAAGTTGAACCAAGTTTCCCGGTCTATTACTGGACATATTTTACATTTGAACCCTGAGCTGTATTCCCAAAATCCCGCCGTTTATTTTAATGTATGACATGTATTATAACACCTCGTAATAAAGCTGTCCATACATTTTAAAACCGAACGAAAGTAAAAATTAACGCGTCGGCCGCCGTCCGACTGAATCGTGATCTACACATCGTGTGGCACAGCCGAGTGTGTGGTCACGTGACGCTAGGCGGTTGATCCGATTGGATGATACTATAAACAATGTCTAAAGATAGATACATGTGTTCCCGTGTTTGACTCGACGGCTATTACTACTTTATATTTATAAGCACACAGACATGTTGCATAACTTTGTCTTAACCCATTGAAACGTCAAACAAAAGTTTTGTTAGTATTTACGGCTGAGGACTAATCGTCAAAATTAATCTTCTTTAGAAATTAATCCGAATAGCTTCGGCCCGACCAAACAATGCTGACCGTGATTCGTGAAACGTTTCATTATTGTGTACATTACTTTTTCGTAAAAATGGCTTTAAAAATAAATTAAATTATATCCGGGGCTCTTTTCTACACGTTTTAATACCACCAACAACGTGGGGGTTACTAGCTTGCCAATTCGACCCAAAATGGGGTGGGGTGGATGGGGGTAGCCACTGACCATCCTACACCGTATGTAACACCCATAGCCTCACCCTGCCCCCACTAGTCCGTGACGCGAAAAGCCGACGAGCATCGCTTTTGATGTTGTATAAAACCCGTACGGTACATGGTGGTTTCATACCCCACCTCCCTCCCCCTTCACTTTGTGGAGTTGATGTTACTAACCCTCGGGCATAGATCAGGAAATCTTGCCAGACTTTTGTCTCTGAGATTACATAATATTCATCTGACACGTTCATCGGGTTGGCCGACTAGCCTATCCAGCGGTCGTGTTTACGTAATAGGGCAATAAAATTCGTTGGTCAGAAGACCTGGTTACCCACATGTCTGATTGAACTAAATCTAGGCAAAAGCTGGTGGTGGTACACGTGTCTGTGTATAGCCAATCACGGTAATCTTACACAATTTCTAGAATCTACTAGATCTACACAGTCAAGCACTCAAACACGTGCTTTTTTCTTAAGAAAGTTGTTAATTGTAAAAGGCCCACTGGTAGGCTTACAGAATACATAAACCTACTTACTACTAGCATAAACATTGGGCATAAATATAAATTTATGTTATATATCTATAACTTAACTATACCTTGTGCAAGTTTTTAAAAAAAATATTTTCCTCCAAAGTTTATTTTATTGACATTGTAAAAATGATTAACTTTAATATGGGTAATAATATTACGTAATTACCATAAAGCACACCCTGATTCTGATCAGACACATTTGTAACTAGACTAATTCTATAGCAAAAAGGATTAAGATATTTAAAATAACAAGAAATATAATTATAATGAGATAGGCCTTTATTTTTGGAACAGAGTAGGCCTATAGTATTGCACATAGATTACATAACATCTTTTAAGAAGTTACATAATCACAAATTTACTATAGCATTCTTCTCTTTGTATTGAAAAACTTGTTACTTATATTTTCTTCTAGTAGGCTATTAACTTGAAGTTAACTGACAATGAGCAAAAGTGATTTTAAAACAAATACATGGTATATTTTGAGCAAAGGGTGGGATTACATAACCTTAACATTTGATAGTTATGTAACAATGTTGGACCATTTTAAATCTACCATTAGCTTGAGCATATACAAATGTCATATTTTAGATTAAAACAGCATTACATTTAAAGAATGACTTCTTATCACATTGATTAGTAGATGTTTAAAAAAAAATTGAAAGGGGGGTATTACATAATCTATGAGATTAGTAGGTTGAGTAATCGAAGGACACTTTTTAAAATAGCATCATTGGATTCAGCATACACAAATCTATAAAATGTCTTGAAATTACATCAATTGATAAAGTATTCTGGCTTTTATACCACTTTTAGTGAAAAACGCTTAAAAATTTGGTCCATACCCTACCAGTATTTTTCCTCTTTCAGGGTCTACCCCGGTTGTCTGAAAAAACTGCTGTTTTTTAATGACTAAAAAATTCATAACTTTTTTGTTTATGGTCAGATTTTGAAAATTCAAACTGATCTGTAATCAGATTGACAGCCCCTATCCAAATATGTAACTATTATATTCTTTTACTGAAATTAAATTTTTGCATTGGCCTAGCTACTAATACTACTATCAACCCAACACACCTATTTTTAACTATTTTATTAGGGTTGTCGGCATCCGCCGAGTTCGCGGTAAAAACATGACCCGAAATCGCCCATTACTTTCTGATACCGGACCCACGAGATTTGGTTTTGCATACTAATAAGTTTTTAATTTATGGTAATTAATTAAGTTTAAAAGGTCATTTCCTAAGGTTAATTAAAAAGTAGAGTGGTTGTCCCTTAGTTTTAATGGCATTGCGACCTGATTGCATGCTGTCTCTGCTTTGGTCTTCCCCCTGTATCAAGGTTAGTTTCAAATACGTTGGAATCTCGATTTTTTAAAAGATTCCTCTAGATGAGAGTAGATTACTGATCAGACATATCTTAAGTAATTGGAAATGAAATTTGTTTTTGGATATTTTGACTCCGACATTAGTTATACCCCTCCGAACGTAGTCACTGTATGTAGGTCACGCTGCCACCATTGTTATATTTTTTCATCCCGATCTTCCTGCCTTTAAGTTTGATCAACTAATAACAGCAATCTTATGGCATGTGCAAACAAATCTAATTTTTTATTTCAAAATATATTTACATACCCATCTTTAATTTTTTCAGCTCTAGTTCTAGTTTTCTAGAATATGTTTTTCCTAAAAATCCAATTTTGTCAGACTAGACTCTAGACTGACAAGAGTCAGACCTAGATCTAGGTTACCTGTCTGTTGCTATACACTAACATTGTGCTAACTGTAATTTTAAGTATTCAAGTTCTACTTACCCTTAGATATAGTTATATGCTGAAAATCAGAATCCATACACAATTCACACATAAAAACATTGATCTGATAACTTCATTTCACTTATTACAAAATGGCTTTTATATGGACTCTACTTCACCTGCCCAAAATAACAAGGCAGTTATAAACACATTACAGTGTTCATGTCATTTACTTTAGATTTCTGACTATGGAGTTCTTTCATTCACTGTATTTATATAAAATATTGCTTTAGAAACATTTTCATATTTGCGCAGCAGTTTTATAACAAAATGGCTTAAAGATGGACTCTACTTCACCTGCCCAAAATAATGAGGCAATTATATGCACATAACAGTGTTCATGTCATTTACTTTAGATTTCTGACTATGGAGTTCTTTCATTCACTGTATTTATATAAAATATTGCTTTAGAAACATTTTCATATTTGCGCAGCAGTTTTATAACAAAATGGCTTAAAGATGGACTCTACTTCACCTGCCCAAAATAATGAGGCAATTATATGCACATAACAGTGTTCAAGTCATTTACTTTAGATTTCTAACTTTGTAGTTCTTTCATTTGCTGTATTTATATAAAATATGGCTTTAGAAACATTTTCATATTTGCGCAGCACACAGTTTTTTGGGGTTATGGGAGGAAGCCAGCACAAAAATATAAGTTCTGTATTATTTTTATTAATTTCAACAGCATTTACAAGTTCTATATATCATTCTAGTTAAACTCTGCAAATATGAACAAAATACATCTGCAAGTAAAATAACTATGCTCAATTTATTCAGGTATACCATGACTTGTCACAATTGGCCAATGCAAAAGCAAGGGGATTCCACCCCTCACAAAAAAATTCGCCAAAAAAAAACTATTTGAGCTAGACAGAAAATCTTTTTTGTTTTGTTTTCATATAGTTGAGCTCTACAAGAATATGTAATTTTTATTTTTATATGATGATTAGTGTTTTTTTACCTAAATCCCTAATTTTATGGAAGAATTAAATTATAAAATAATTAAAATTTCTAAAATTAAATAGGCTTAAATCAAATGCTACATTAATAAAACCAGATTTCTAGGCCTACATTTAATAAATTGATAACTAGGCCTATTTTAATATTCATTATTAGGCATATTAGGCCCCTATATCTAGTTGGGCTTATATTATATAGGCCTAGGTCTAGATTTTAGTATAGTTACCTACATAGTACTAGATCTAGTAGTCTTTTTAATTTTTGTATTTGTTTCAGCAGAAATCTTGTTTATCCTTTTGATTTTTTAAGCGAATTGGCAATCAATCAGCTGTTCATTTTATAAATAGCTGAATATTTAATAAGCTGAATGATTGCAAATTCTGATATAGGTCTACTCCTACACAATAATAATATAATAAATATTTAGGCCCTAAATATGAATAGGCCTTATTAAAAAAAATAGGCCAGAGTAATATTTAGAATACACCCTTTGAACAAGCTCCCAGCCTAGCTTTAACCAACCAGCAGGCTTGTTGCATTGAGTGAAATATAAACTCAAAACTATATAAACAATCACTGACATACACATACACTTGATTTAGCTTATAGTATTCCCCTTCTACTAACTAACCAGCAAAACTACTTACACTACATAAGTAAAAGCCCTAAGATTATCATTAAGAAGCTATAACCTAATTTAATCTCTTTATGATTTAGTTTAAGACAAGAATTAAGTTTTAAGTGAGTAATGAAATGAAGTAGACCCCACCTCTCACTAGTTTGGAATGAAGCTTTTGACAATGACTTGTATAATTACACAAATTCCCCAAGTGTTTATTATAAATAGATTAGCTAGTTTCATTTAGATTTTTTATGTAAATGATGATAGTCACAAGTTACTATTGTGTGTATTATACTATTGAAAAGGTAGTACTGTACTAGTAGTTAAAATTAATGAATTAATTGCAAAAAGGACTACAGAAAATGCCAGAATAAGGACTATTGAAGTGCTTCATCCCTATTTAATGAAACTTTTAAAGTTTAAACTTGACACTAACCTATAGTACAGCTTGTTTAGCTGTATTTAATCTACGAAAGCAAAACATATTTTAACTGAGGATGTCAGATATGTTTGCCTTAATAATAATTAGTAACCCCGTCATTTTACATTGTAAATAGATAACTCATTAAAATATTAACTATTAATAACAGTAACTCTGAATCTTTTTTACCAATTACATGCAGATTGTTGGCAAACATGGGGGAATATTTGAAGCGTATTACATGCAGGTATATTTTTTTTTCATCTAATACAAACATTGTATCTTGTTTATATTTTAATACTATGTTTTTTTTTTTTTATTGTTATATGTTATCAATGAATCATTTGTTACCCAGGAAAACAAATTTTTATAATAAATTTAATACTTATAATTTCATTTGTAGTGTATTGTGCTTTGCAAACTTTGAACATTTGTTTTAAATTATGAATTATGGTTGAGCTATGCTTCTATATATTTAAAGAATCATGTATTTATTTATTTATATGATTTTTTTTAAATTAATTATTTTATTTGTCGTTACATATATCCTGTTTTAAAATTCAAATATATTAAATAATAACCTGTAGAAGAATATACTTACTACTGTTTTTTTATTATAATAATACAATTCACATTAATTTTCAAATTAGATACTCTCACAAGTTTTAGCCGCACAACATCTTCAATTTTGTTTTGTTACACTGTTATTTTTAATGATAACTTCTGTGACAATATTAAGGCTGACCCCATGGGCACAGGTAGCATTGGGGCACTGGATGCCGCCAACTTCCTAAAAAGGTCAAAGTTGAGTGACACCATTTTATCACAGGTAGAAACTAACTTCTTTTTAAATGAACCTTTCAAATATGTGATTTTTAAAAATTTAAAAATTATGATTTTAATTACTTATTTCGATTCTCAATTTGTGCGCAATTTGGGGTTAAAAGAGTAAGACAATGTTTGTTCAAGTAATTTCTATTTTAAATAGGTTTGGGACATGTCAGATCCTATGGGTAAAGGCTACTTGGAAAAGACTGGATTCTTTGTTGCACTAAAATTGATTGCTTTGGCACAAAGTAAACAGGAAATGAATATATCCAAACTTCTGGTTGAGACACCACCACCAGACCTGGTATGTGATTTGAAAATTTACACTTGGAACATTGAAAACAATCACATTGCAGTTTTCTCCTTATTACTTTTTGTTAAATTTTATTTTATTAAGAACAAAGTTTGTCTTTTTCAAAATTTAGATTTGTTTGTGTTTGAAATTCCACAGGGTCCTGTTGAGCCAGTAGAACCCTCAGCAGTAATTGCTCTAAATGCCAATATTCCATGGGATATCTCAGTAAGTGCTGATACATTTTTGTAGTCTGGTGATAAGTGTTTTTAGCTTAATGATAGGTGATTATATCATAGTGATAAGTTATTGTAGCTTAGTGATAAGTAATTGTATCCAACATGATTGCTTGACTCTACAGTGTACTGTTATTACAAGCTAATAGTTGTTATATGCAGCACTTGTCCTTTTTATTTTTGTGTCCTTTATCGTAAACTCTTTGTGTTTATCCCACAGGTGTCTGAGAAATCCAAATATGACAAAGTATTTGATAGTCTTATACCTGTAAATAATATGTTAGCAGGGGAAAAAGTCAAACCTGTAAGTGTTGTGTTTAAATCTGAGACTTAACCTCATCCGAGTCTCAGTATTTTAATATCATATCAGTTGTATTGTGTTACTGATCCTACTGTACGGATGTAGAACATAAATAATTTTTATTAATAGGCCTACTAAATTTTAAATATTTTTTCGCTAATATAAGCACTGCATTAAGTGTGATAAGATTTTCAAGTTATCTTCAAAACAATTAGTCACTGTATTGTAAAAATGTTTCTGTTTTCGTACCTGCAGGTGCTGATGAACTCAAAGTTACCTGTAGATATTCTGGGTCGAATATGGGACATGAGTGATATAGACAAAGATGGTTTCCTAGATAGGGATGAGTTTGCAGTGGTTAGTAAAAACAGTCCCAACTCTTTTGTTATTAAGTTAAAATCAATTTTAATTATGGCATGCTTTTGTAATATTGAACTTCATTCCTCATTGTGTCGATATCATAGGCTATTTTCTAAAACTGTTTGATAATTAGTTTCATTTACATCGTGGAAGTGTTTCTAAAAGTTATTTATAATTCAATAATCCTGTTTTAGTGCTAAAGGTCATATTTTTGTACTCTTACTTGTAATAGTAATAATTATTTCTCAATAGAAGAATGAATAATAGACTTCAATAGTAGACATTATAACATTGGTTATAAGTAATAAATTGGTGAATGGGTTTTAATACACTTAACACTGTATGTATGTATGTATTAGACTGATAATTAGGGTTTAGTACAGAAATCTCTTTACAAATATTAGACAGATGAATAGGTTTTAATACAGACATCATTGTTTATAAATACTAAACTAATGAATGGAGTTTTAATTGCAGGCAATGCACCTTGTTTACCAAGCCCGTGAAGGTCAAGAAATTCCAAATTTATTAAGACCAACCCTGGTTCCACCTTCCAAGCGGAAAGGAGCAGGAATAGCTGGAGGAGCCCCTCCACTTCCTGGAGCAGTTCCCGTCTTGCCAGGCATGGGCCCTGTGCCTGTATCTGGTGTGGTTGGGACTATGGGGAGATCAACACCTACTCTTGGGATTTCAGGGGTATGGCTCTTTCTTCTCAGTACTGTTGTATAAACAGACATTGCTAACTTGAAAGTTATGGGTTGAGTTCTATGGCCTGACTCTGTAGGAAGTCCTTGAGCCCAGCCAGTGCTGACCACATTTTTTCCCGTTATGTGCTGAGGTCATTAAAACTGAGGACTACTTCTGATCATGTCTGTGTATAAATATCTATGCCTCAAAAAAGAAAAAGTATTTTATAAACAGAAACTATCAGAGGGGATTAAAGTAGTTAGCAATACTAGCTGTTTATGGAGAAGATATAGCCAGAATTATTGACCAGTATGTTTGGTTGACTTCTTTTGTAGGCTTTTCCTCCATGGGTAGTGACGCCAGCTGAAAAACTAGGCTCTGATACGATTTTCAACAAACTAGACACTGACCATGATGGGTTTGTTAATGGTGCAGAGATACGAGATGTCTTAGCTCAAAGTGGTCTCTCCACTGCAGTCCTTGCTCACATATGGTAAGTGTGCTTTAAGACAAACAGTTGTATTGGGAACTTATCAAGTATTTGTCCTTTTTCCTAGATTGTGTTAGCATAATACTTTGTGTGTGGTGTGTGTCTAATCCTCTCCTTTTTTTCTAAGTCACTATGCTTCCTCTGTGGGGAGGTTATCTTGTCTGATCATGTGTCTGATTGCCCAGAACGCTACAATGCTTGAATGATTGTCTTATGGTTAATTTGTCTGTATTTTGTGTGCCTGTGTGATAGCTTATTACATTTCCTGTGTGATAGCCTATAACCTATTACATTCCCTGTGGAATAGCCTATTACATTCCTTGTGTGGTAGCCTATTACATTCCCTCTGTGGTAGCCTATTACATTCCATGTCTGTGGAATAGCCTATTACATTCCCTGTGTGTAAAAGATTGTCTAAACTTTGTCCATATTTCAGGGGTCTGTGTGATAGCCAGGGTATAGGGAAACTGAATCCAGAACAGTTTGCACTAGCCATGCACCTGATCCAACAGAAGCTTCAGGGTGTAGAGCCACCACCTCAGCTCTCTCCAGAGATGATACCACCTTCGCTGCGTTCCATAGCTGACCCAGGTGCTTTTGGGGTCAGGGTAAGTCATTTGTTTCTTGCAGCGGTCAGAACCTTCTAAGTTACTTGGTTTAGAAAACAAATAAATGGGATTCGGATATTTTTTTAACTCATTCTTCTATAGCAATCAAATATTAATTTAACTTTTGAGACAGACTTAAGATCAACTTATTGCTTGAGTCAAAAAATAATGGCGATAGTTTTATTAGAGTGGGTTCAAATCTAAACTATAGTGACAATAAATTATTCTGTTGTGTGTTTTCTGTAAAACTGCAACCTGATGGTTTCCCTGTGTTTGAGTTCAAATTTCATACTTGAGTCCACTCAGCTATAATGGGTACCTGGCTTAAGTTAGGGACTGTAAAAGCAGCTGGACCTTTCGCTGACCACACTTTTTATGCCATGGTGACAGAAACAGGTGAACTCCACTGCAATTGTCCTGTAGATAATCAGGTTAGAAAGGAGGGTAACAGTGTGTTTGCCACTATTGACACTTATATTTCTAGAGGTGCAAGTTAAAAGGTAGACCCTGTATCACTTTTATCCTCTGTTGCCCTATACGTAATGTCAAATGCTTGTGTGCCCCAGGATGGAACTAATGCTGGTCCATACAGTCACGTAGCTGATTTTTCTGCAATCAAAGAACTAGATTTAATCAGTAAAGAAATCGACGATATTAAAAAGTAAGTAACACAATTACTTCTTGTATTCACTGCTTAGTTTATCCAGAAAAAAGTAGAATATCTATAGCTACTCTCTAACAAAAGATCCAAAAGCCCTGGTTAAGCTAAATTTTGTATCATTGATCATTCGTGTTTAATATATAGCTGTTTTTATTTCATTCACTCTCTGATCTTCAAGACCACTCTGGCAATTTCTTCACTTTATTTTGAGCAGCAATTCATAAAAAGACATTTAGCTCTACCATCCCATAGTCCTGTGGCTTATAGTTTAACCACTTTTAATTCCTTAATTTAAATTGTGATTAGTTTAATTAATCCGTGTTAAGTTTATTAAAATTTCTCTAGAACTTGCCGTCTTTTTTTTTCACTTGCATTTTTCTCCACATTTTAGTGCGTTTGTTATGTTTATATCCAGGTAAGACTGCGTACACAATAAGTTTACATTCATTATTTGATATGTTTGGGAAATATTTGTTTACTTTGATTTTGGAAATATATTTATGCACAATTCAATGAAACAGTTTGCAGTTTTGCCGTTTGGATTTGAATTTTCTGTAAGAAAAAAACATTCTCTCTCAGAATGCTGTTTTAAATATTTGTATTAATGTGGACAAAATGTTTTTAGCATAGTGTTAAAAAGACGTAGGAATGTTGCATTTTGTAACAAACAACACATTGTCCTTATGACAAGGGTCAGCGTGGTCGAGTCGGTAAAAGCTCATGGTTGCTAAACCGAAAAGTCTCGAGTTTAAACCCTCTGGCAGATGAGCTTGTTAGCTGGCGACAGCCACTCTTCTAGGAGAGACAACTCAAAATCAAAAAACTGCTGCCTTGTAGTTTGTTCTTGGTTGGACAAAGACTATGGAAGCAAATCCAAAAAGAAAAGCAGGCTGCAATGGCCTCAATGGCGCATAACCAGTTGACATGTATACTTACTTCTGTTGGAGGGGATCCCTTCCAACACTAAAATTAAGAACGAAGAAGAAGAAGTCCTTATGACTCGATTATATGGATCTTTTAGTATTTACAATCTGTATTATCCTGGTACTTTACAAGTACTACAGAAGTAACTATTGTAAAGGGAATGAGATTGCAGAATGATTTTAATTTAAAAGCATTTGATGGCTTGCAGGGAAAGACTAAAACTAGAGCGGGACAAGGCACAACAGGAGGCCGACATTAAAATTAGACACGGGGAGGTGCAGGTTTTACAGAAGGAATTAGACTCTCTCAATGCCACTTTAGCTCAACTTGATGCTCAGAAGAAAGAAGCTCAAAAACGCTTAGATGAATTGGATGATAAGGTATCATTTATTTCTTGGCGTGTGTTTATTATGATCATAAACTTTAAGCTAATTGGGAAATAAAAGCAAGTTGTTAATTTGTTGGCTTGTGTTTGTTGTCATAAATTTAGGCAAATCAGGAGATAAAAGTGAGTTAGATGCATTGCGCTAAAAGATGAGATTTATTTGCTTATTGTTTTTACAATCATAAACTGTAGTTGTTTTGTTTTTTTTATGGATTGTTAAATTATATTTACAGTAACTAAATTTTCAGATTAAAGACTCCTGTAACATGATGGACTTTTTAAAAATATATACCTTAGAGCTGTGAAAATAGATTTCCCATTGTTGTGCCTAATGAGTAGAGAGGTTTTCTGTTGTTATGACAAATATGTACAGTATAATGTTGAGGTTTTCCATTGTTATTGCAAATATGTACAGTATAATGTTGAGGTTTTCCATTGTTATTGCAAATATGTACAGTATAATGTTGAGGTTTTCCATTGTTATGGCAAATATGTACAGTATAATGTAGGTTGCCTGTTGAGGTTTCCCCGTTGTTATACAAAATGTGTACAGTAAAATGTTGTGTTTCACAGAGGTCAAACCTGGAGCGAAGTGTCCTAGAACTGAGAGAGAAATCCAGCAGGGAAAACATGGAGGTCAGTGAGACTATACACATATTTTATCTTGTACACTTGTCATGGTCCCAGTCATGCACATTCATCTTGATCAGCAGTAGGAGTTTACATGAGCTATGATACATCTGTTAGATGAACTATGGTTCATCTGTATGTTTCAGTTTTAAATTATTTGTGAGTTAAAGAACTGATAGATTGTGTTGGTATGTTTTGTATTATACTTGAAACTGCAATTATATCTCTAATGGGAAGTGTGCAAATTTATAACTTCTAAAGTAAAAATTTCTTTTTTACTCATTAATAAGTATTTCCTTTAGAGTTAATTCTTTGATTAATTTTTTTTTAAACCATGAATAGACGTTATTAATATATGTATAACAGATTATTGAGTGATTAATTTGAATTAGAAACTTGGTTTGTAGGTTTTAATAATAGACTTTTCAAGTTCGGTGTTACTGTTTTGAGGAAATGTTCTAATGAAAAATTTCATGACAAATAGCCAGGTGGGGAGACAAAAGAAGGGGCAGCATCAGTAGGTATTGAAGAAGGGGACACAACCATAGCTCCTAGTGAAGAGCTAACTCCAGTAAGTTTTTTAGGGGGAAGGAAATGTCCGTACAAAATCACCATTGTACTAGATAAATGGAGCCTCCATCTAGAGATAGAAATGAACTTTGGTAGCAATAATGTGGATATAAATAGAAATTTTGAAATTGTACTAGATAAATGGAGCCTCCATCTAGAGATAGAAATGAACTTTGGTAGCAATAATGTGGATATAAATAGAAATTTTGATAGCTCTTTATGTTATGGTCGGATGTTGTTTAGAGAAGTTTTCCTTCAATGTTAAATATTGAACTACATTGTGACAGTAGATAGATTAGTATTGTTTTTATTGTCATAGGCGTTTTTTTTTGTTTTTTTTTATAAGTTTTGTTTTTAATTGCTATGTAAAGATGGTCAACTTTAGAATGTTTGATTGAGTAGTTAGATGACTGAAACTCTTATTTTGGAATGCACATTTTTATTTGTCAGTCTTCTCAAAACTTTTGTTCTGGGGTTGTTTTTACTTTATTTTAATTATTATGACACTATTTCCACACATAGAGTGTTGTCATTTGTTATTGGATTAGCTAGTTTTTTGTCACCTTAAAACATAGCCTACACGTTGGTCACTAAAAAAATGTTTGGGTCAGGTTTTGGAGACAGAATAAATCTTATTTTAACAACAGCCCTCATGTTTACTGGCATTGTTAAAGGGAAGGTTAATTCCACACAGTGCAGCTTTTCTGCTTGTATACATTTATAAAGATATGTGTTCATATATATATATATATATATATATATATATATATATATATAATTACTTAAATAAAAGCTGCAAAATCAAGTGTTCTAAATATGTTCATATTTTTATTTATTCAACTGCACAACTCCTGTCCACCATTACCTTTCCAATCAATTACCCAAAACTTTCACTGTATCAAACTTAGTGCAAATATAGTATCTTTTCCGCAAAATACAATATGATGGGTAAGTGTGGTGAGTATATGAAGCTAATCCATAAGAAGCTAATCTATAAAATTTGCTGTAAGGTCTAAATAGAAATCTAGATATTAAAGACCTGATTTAGGGTTCTAATTTTTTAAAACTAAAATTCTAAATTTCTATAAAAACTACACTTGATAGTTTTTCACTAAAAAAAAACAATCCAGTTAAGTTAAAGCATAACTCTGCCAAGTTTTGTAAGTACTTTGTCTTTTGGCTTGTCTATTTTAAAAGTTACGATTATTAAAGTCTAAAACCATTTATTGACATCTAAATACATCACTTCCATCACATGCTGAGATTTTACCTGCCTGTTGTTGTTTTCTGGCTAAACACCTCCACCCTCCATCATCTCCCCCAAATTTACAGGTGAACAAATTGAAATCCCAGCTGCATAATAGAGAGCAGATTATAAAGGTAAAAGTGATAGATTGCTCAGGTCCAGTGCTGGACTAGAAGCCACCTTGCTTGTCTTTTACTGGTGGTGGTTCTCTGCTCATGTTGCATTGTCTCCATATTTCTGACAAATAAATATTTTTTAATCTTGTTACTAACTTTTTATATTGAATTATTTTTTGTATGTTGGAAAATTCTACAGTGCTGAGAATTTTTTTTTTAACTCTAAGCTAATATAAGTTGTGTGGGTCTCCTTAGGTTTAATTAAACACCTTGAATATTTAAGATCAAATTTACTTATACTCTTTCTTGTGAATTATAAAAAAAAAAATCTTTTTGTTAAAGAGTATGTCAATTTTAACCTCAATTTTGTTTGAACTATCAATTTAATTTGTATACTTTTATAACAGTAAAATAAATTACACAATGATAAGGATTTTATTTATTTATTTCAGTAACAACTTTGATTTTATAGAAATAAGAAAATAAAGGAAAGATTCAATTGGTCTCATATAATTGAAATTTAACAATTAATATGCTTGCCAGATAAAATATATACAACTGCCATAATATAATTTGCCAAATCGGACAGTGCATCCATGGAATGCTTGTCTTCAAATGGTTGACAAAAAAACAAGTGCATGCAGCCCATTTTTTCTTGCTCACTGATCCTGCTTGATTTATTTGCTAACATAGCTTTTGTATGTTCTAATTTTTTAATGCATTGAATTTGTATTCTTTATTTTTATTCTCCTATTTTGCTTGAATAGGATATTTTATCTATGACTTTTTACTAATCCTGCTCTATATAGTAAGAATGTTAGACTAACAGGTCTTATACAATTATTTGCATCAATACTTTTAATTTTGATAAAAAGTAAAACTTTCACCATAGGTAAAGCATTCATTTACATCACTTCACAAGCTTGATAATATTTTGCATAATCTTTTGACTTCAGATTATTTTTTCAGATAATTGAATCCTAAATTGGTTTCTTTTTTGTAAAGGAATATTTATGTTTTTAAAATCTTAAATATAATTTATTTTAACAGTGCCAAAAATTAATTTAACAATATCTGAACATATACATAATTATTCATTGATTTTTAACTTAAATATTATTATATTAATATTACTTATAACTTATGATACTGAATATTTAATGCAAATTATGCATTGTTTATTAAAACTGGCTCTCATTATCTACAGGATCAGGAAAAAGAACTGGAAAAGCTTAGAGCAGAACTTATCCAACTTAGAGATGAAGAATCCAAACTAGAACAAACAGTGGATTCAAGCAGACAGCAGTTAGACCTTTTGGCTAAATCACAGAATGACATCAATGAGGAAATCTCATTGGTCAGTTCACTAGTGAAAATTAATGTAACAGATGCGCGTGTTGCTCTATTTTATGTGATCGTTATTTTAAGTTGTGTTTTGATCTATTTTATGTGATTGTAATTTTAAGTTGTGTGTTGATGTATTTTATGTGATTGTAATTTTAATTTTAGTTGTGTGTTCATCTGTTTTATGTTATTGCAATTGTAATATACACTTGCCATAAACATCAGATTGTTGCTTGTGTTGTTTCCCCAGACACGAAGACGTTTGCAACAACTTATGGACCAATACAAAGGTGTTGATATTTCTTCAGTCAATTTTATGAACCAAAATGGTGAAAATGCCAACAACATTGACGCTGCTAGTAGTCGAGCAACAGTAAGTTGATTTTTTTTTTTTTTCATTTTTTTTTATACTTAATTTTGTTAAACAAATCATGTTATTTTTAATAGTACTTGGTCAATTATTATTTTTTGGCAGTTTTACAATATATTCATATTATTGTCTACCTGGTACAAAGTAAACAAAATATGTATCTGCAAGAGGATTTTACTCAATGCTAATTGCTAAAATATTTGGAATGCCAGTCCAATGTAAATTTGATCTCTTCGACAGATGGGTAGCCCTGTCAGTACTATTAGTAATTTTAGTGTTGGCTCTACCTTAGATGACTTTAAAGATGACCCCTTTAAAGGTCGTGACCCTTTTGGTGGAGGTGGGGCTGGGCCAGATAGCCAAGATGACCCTTTCCAGAATGATGACCCTTTCAGAGATAGTAAGTTCTGCCAATATTGGACCTGTCTTATTTCATCAGTAGTTTATGCTTCCTGTTGTTTTGAAGGCATTCTCTTGTAATGAAGTTTCCTTAGTTTAATGGCCTCTGCTTCATCATAGCTTATTCTTTTGTCAGGTGATCCCTTCAAAGCTGCTGATCCTTTTGGAGCTGAAGATCCTTTCAAAGATGCTTTTGGATCTACAAATACAAATAAAGTAACATTCTAATAACTTAATTGAATTCTTCAATTTTAAATTAAATGTTAATTTTTTTGTAAATCACATTTTGTCCACGTTGTTTAGTTCTGATTTATATGGCTAAAACCACTTATGTTTTAGCTTATGAATTAACATAAATTTTTATTTAAGTGCTCAGTCAAGTGAGTTATATTTAATTATATCCTGGAGTTTAAAGACAAAAAACATATCTTTCGATAATTTTTGTAGAACATTTTATCAACAGTAAAATTAATATAAGAACTCCAAATTTCAATAATTCATCCATTTTCCTGATTTGAAATAATCTATGCTAAAATAATATGTTGGTGTGAAACTCATCAATTCAGGTGGATCCTTTTGGCACAACGGCAGATCCATTCACTAATGCCTCTGGTGCATCATCAGGAAAAAAGCCAGTCAGTGACAGTTTTGATGCCTTTGGTTTATCCTGGGGCTCAAATGTAAATAGTCCAGCTAAGTCTAGTCAGGTGAGTGATTGATTTTTATTTTTACCAGCAGGTATTTTATTTTTTTATCTTAGCATTTTGGTGGTGGTTGACAGTGCATTCTACATCTTAGGTCAAGTTTTTCAAAGTTGTTCATAGTAAGAAACTATTTTTAAAATGTGTTCTTCACTGTCCTTATTTTTATTAAGCTGGAGGATGATGTCTTTGTAAGTAAATAGAATTCTTGCTTGTAGTAGTGGTCAAACTCAGCATCTCTGCCGTAGAAGGCTTCTGTTTCCATACACTGTCTTTTAAAAATGCTTATCCCAGATATTTGTATGGCATTTGTTTTTAAATTGGGAAATTTGAAACGTTCAAATATGTTAGGCTATGGTTCTTAAATTGGGAACTTTGAAACGTTGAGTTTAAATATGTGTTGGGCTATGGTTTTTGAATTGGGAAATTTATTGATACTAAAATGTGTGTGCTGAGGAGGATCACTACTCAATGTAAGAAAAAAATCAGGGTTAGATGTGCAGTATCACGGTTTTTGCCTACATTTTTATTTTGTTCTCTCATCCTATTGATTTCACGCTTAGTTTTTTTTTTTTGCTGTGGAATACATTATTTATAGAAAAAACTTTTCACCAAACCATCTGTCATTTGTCACCCTATTATTTCATAGCATTTCTTTTTGTTGATTAGATTTCCAACAGCTTCGGTGCAGATCCTTTTGGTGACTCATCTAAGCCGAGCACGTCTTCCAAAAATAAAAAACCACCCCCACCCCGACCGGCCCCACCAAAGTCAAAAAGTCCACTTCCTTTTGGGTCATCTTTATCTGCTTCCCCCAAGCCCAAAGTGGAACCGTTTGGTGGTTTTGGCTCTGATCCCTTTGGAGGTAGTGACCCTTTCGGTAGCGCGGTTACAAATCAACCTGATGGAAATAGCACAGATCTCTTTGCAAACTTTGCTGACTTTAGCCCTGGGAAGGTAGGATGATTTCAGCCTGACTACGTGTTGTTTTGCTTCTAATTGTTACAGAATGCTTTGTAGTTACCTTTGAGCTTTAACTTGTATTAGAGCAGAATTAATTGTTTTTTTTTTCTGTTATATAAACTTTCTGCTTGATATTTATTTGTGAAACTGTTGCGCCACTACTCAACTAAAAGTCATACCTAATTCATGCTTGAGTATTCTTTCTTTTTTTATACTGAATAACAAAAGAACCAGCCATTATTTACAACCTCAATGCAATCACATTTTGAACAAAGTATTTTAGTATAGAATTGTTATTGATGATGGAAGGTGTAAACTTCAACAACTTCTACCAGCACTTGCGGTTCCTACATTAGATTTTTGGCTTGGTTTTTTGTTTTTATTTCTTATAAATCAATTATTCTTTTTGAGGTTTTAAATATATTTATGTGGTTGTTTTATAAATTCTATGAACCTTTAAATGGCATCCAACTTATTATTAAATTATTAAATACTATTCAATGTACAAAGTAAAATGTAATATACTTGTCATCCAGAACACATGACAATTGAAATAATGACTTTAGTTGTGTAGGTGCATTTTGTATCTATGCTTACAGCTTTGTGTTTTAGTTTTTTAACAAACTTTTTAATGTTTAACATTAAGCCTAGTTTTAAATGTGTTTGTGTGTTCAATGTGAAAGTTAATTTCTTCAACTTGTATGCAGTTTTTGCTACTTAACCCTTTAACAGCCATTAGCCTAAACAAAAATTTTAATCTACCTAAACGTAATGAAAAATTCAGTTAATTTGTACTGTAAATATTACAAATTCACTACAACAAATATTGTAATATATCCTACTAATTAAGATTTTTTTTTTTAGTAAATGAACATTCTACATATTTTTGACAACATCTTGTATATTAACATTCATATCTTTTTGATCACTTATCTCTAAGTGGTGACACCATTGGTTGTTGATTGGTAAAAACATATCCAGTATGTTATGCGATGATCTAATGCCTGTTTATTTTGGTTTGTGAGACTGAAATAACTAAATTAGAGGATGTCAGTGCAATTAAAAACTATAATAATCTTTTACCATGAAAGAAAATCTAATAACATATCCACATCTACGTGTTTTTTAACGTTATGCCCTGCTTAATTATACTTAAAATGTCAGATTATTTTTAAAATGAGTTTAAAATTTTTAATTTTTTCGGTAGTCGACTGAAAAATGTTTACTTCTTTTATTACCATTGATTAGCAACTACATGTTTGTAACTTAAACCATATTTTTCAAGCATCTTTCTTCACATATTTATAGACAAAATATTCTTTATCAGAGTTTTAAATTAAACTAAACACCCTATAACAACTTTTTAAAATGAAATTTAAAAAAAACAAAAACTAAAAGCTTATATAAATATCCCCTTGTCAACCTTATAAAGCAGATTTTAAGACTTTTTTGTTTAACAATTCTGTGTTGTTAGTTTATTTCTGTTTAGTCTAGAATTTCTTTTTTTTTATTAAGGATCCTATTGATGTTACCTCCCATGTCAAATACTCTATTGTTGTGATTTTTTTTATGCATCTAATGTATAAAATCTGTAATAAATTTTTTCTTTTTTCAAACTCTTCTAGTCTTCACCTGCTTGTTTGTGAATGAAAGTAAAAGCTTTGTAGTGGTTGTTTTCTGTTCCAGTTCAGATATTTCGCAGATTCTATCAAACTACCTTTTTATTTCTGTGATCATTCATTTATTCTTGCTTCTAGTTATTTATTTTTTTCCCAATTGGTGCCTAGATTCCTTTTATCTTCCTGCTTGCATATGCGTTCCTCACCCCTATTTAATAATATATCTCACTGAAAAAGTTTTGTTTCCTGGGTGTGCTGCCATAAACCTTGCAATAACTGACGGAGACAATTTTCAGCTTAACCACCATTGCAGCAAAAAGAAAATTACTTTTTTAATGTTTTTTTCTTTTTTAAATTAACTTATTCTTGTCATGTTTAACTGTGAAATACTCCATTTTGTTCGTGTGAGAAAATAAGAAAGATGTTGTGATACTGCTTGTTATTTAAAAGTATTTAACCATAACCGTTAATTGAAAAAGCAAACTTTAATGTAACTTAATTTAACCAAAAAATATACGTAATTAAAAAGCATTTTTAATAGAAATTAGTTAATATTTTCATCAAGCTCTGTTTATATATTTACTCAATACGCAATTTTATATAACGATTTGTTTAAATGGAAGTAATACAACATTACACAGAAATTATACAACATGAATAATATTTGTAAGAATAATCAATTAATGAAATAATAGTAAAAAAAAAAAGAAAAAAATATTAAAGAAATTGGTTTTTTTTTTCATTTCTCTTAAAAATCAAATTTTTCACATTTTACTTTCTATTCACATAAATTCTCACTTGCAAAAGCTCATATTTCACACCTTAACCTTGCCTAAGCTTTGCTTGTATTTTTATTCTCATTCAATGCTTTGCTTTACGGCAGTTTGAAGACTCAGCAGCCACATCGTGGACCCAGTGAAGCCCGCCCCAGCAACAGACCAGCCTCACTGTTTCTGCGTTCATTATCTCCTCTTGATACTTACACCAACCTGTATTTTTCACGGCTTAGTTTTTTTTTTTTTTTTCTAAAGCTCAGAACCAAGTGCATGATGGAACATTGAGCAAACTTAATGTACGATTTCTGTGATACACAATTTATAATAAGTGATATAGCTTTTTTTTTCTATCTGATTCATGTTTTTTTTTAGAACTTAGGATGAATCAATGTAACTTTGAATCCGAAATGTCATCCTTTACATGCACTGATTTTTTTATTTTTTTTTACTGATAACTTGTGTGTGAGGCTGCCAAATCTCCATCTTGCAGGATAATCTCATTGTAACTATCATTCTGCATCTACTACAATTGTATAGCTTTACTAACCCATTTAAACTCTGCTGTAATAACTATTCATTTTTTTGCATGTGTGTTTTCTTCATCTAACGTCCGCCACAATACTCTTTGTTGATGTAATAGCTCTAGGGGTGTGTAGGCTAGATTGTGTAGTGATAATTACTTGCTCTATACAGTTGTGTAACTAGGATTTTGTGGGTTAGTTTATCTACTGCTAAATACTGCTCAATTTCACTGGGCATTTAGTTGGTAGATAGGAAAGTTTTTCTAGCCATTTTAAAAATATTTAAACAATAAACCAAGATACAGAACTTTAATGAATTAAATTTAACCATATCATTGTAGATTACCCCCTAATTTAATGCTAATTAACGAATGTGAAATATTAACAGCTTATTGACTCCATGTTCATATTTTTATGCCATATTTTTTTATTCTCATGACATGGTAGTTTTTGTTTAAATTTAATATTAAGTGGGAGGGGCATTCTTTTCAAGCTCTGCAGGGTGGTGTTTTAAGTGGTGTGTGATTTGCTGATGACACAACCTCCAATCTTTGTGAGTTGATGACCTGCCCTTTCTTGAATGTGTGTGTGTTGAATTTGACATCTCCTCTGCTTCGTGCTTTGATGACTGCCTCATGCTTTAATGTGTGATTGAGTTGAATTTGACACCACCTTAGCTGTGTATGTTGATGATGTGTGTTTGAGTTGAATATGACAACAGCACCGCAGTGTGTGTTGCTGTGTGTTTGAGTTGAATATGACACCAGCTCTGCTGTGTGCATTAATGATGTGTGATTGAGTTGAATTTGACACCACCTTCGCTGTGTATGTTGATGACCCTGCATGACTTAACAATGTGTTGTTGTTTCCAGTTCTCTAGTCTAGATGAAGATGTCGCGTGGGGTGGTGGAGGTCCCTCTACCATCACTGTTAAGAATTCCACCCGCAATGGACCGGTCCCAGCAAAGAGAAATTTAGTATTAAACAACAATGCCAAAGAAGAAACAGAGGCGTAAACCTATTCATAGAGCGCTAATTTAGTGAACATTATATTTATTTCAGTTAGAATTTATGAGAGGAAGTTTATTGTGAAATATTTAAATGAGATGAAATGTATATTGTACCAGTGGTTTTATGGTTAAGGGGCTACTTTCAAAGTTTGTTAGAATCTTTTTTTAATACTCAGGTGTGCTAGACATCCAGCCATTTTTTTTATCACACTTATATAAAAAAAAATACCTTAAATTGTATGAGGTGGGAAGGGTTTTCCTTGTACAACGTACAAAGCAATATTGTCTGACCATACTGCTATTACTCTTGCAACCAGCAAACAACCCTTGCAAATATTTTGACAAATGTAATGATATTACAATTTTAAAATGTAGTTTTAAAATGTTCTTAAGTTATTCGCTCCAATCAAAAACAAAATGATTCAGCTTTGAAGTTTAGACTTTGTCTAATTTCTAATAACTCTACTTACGATGCGACACTACAAAGGTACAGTGGTTCAGATTGTAACAGTTAACTATCGGTACGTAATATTCATTTCATGCTTACTAACTCAATTATCTACAAATTATTTTCCTTTTCTCAATATCTATCACAGCCATATAGCCCAAATTAACTGAAAAATAGCAGCTAAATATTCTGTTAGTATCTATCCACTGTCATATAGCCCTCATTAACAAACAAATGTCTACCAAATATTCTGCTATTTTTAGTATCCCATTCATACAGTATATTTACTTAAACATTCTATTCCTCTTAATATCTAGATCACAAACACAAATGCTAACTAATTTATTCAACCAATTGCACAAAATGTTACTATCCCACCAGTAACTGAAGCATTTGGTGTATGTAAACACTGCTAATATACTTGCAGTGACCGCCATTATTGTGCGTGTGAATGAAGTAGCATTTTCATTAGGTTAATGTTGTGGCCTTTTGTTTTCATGATACTATGCAAGAATGAGTATTGTAATTTTTGCAACGAGGCTTGTGTTGCATGGAGCTCTGTGGTCGAGAAATGAAATACCAACACCGTTTGTTAGACTCTGTGGTGAATAATTTTATGTCAGTTGCAACGAATTTCAGCTGAATTTTTCCCAGAAGGATTTAAAGTTATAAGTGATGGATTAGACAACAATCAGATTGATGTCAATGAATATTTTTTACATGTTTAATAATATCAGTTCTGTGTTCAAAAGTAATGCAATAAGATTAGGGCTTTTATATGAGTTGAATTGTTAAGTGACTTGTGTATTTAGTGAACTAGTGTGTCTTGTATGCCGATAAGGAATTAACAATGTCGCAGCCTGCTGTATTTAGTCAGGACGGAATTCTTTTTTTTTAAATATTTATCTTGGTATGAAATAAAATCACATGGATCCATGAACTAATGTATTTTATATTAAAAACAACATAAACCTGTATTATTATTTTTTTTTGCTTATAATTATGTTACAAAAAGATTAACATTTCACTGTTTAACTTATTGTTGCTGTTTGTTTCAATAGTAAAAAAAGAAATATATATCCAGGAAATGTTCATTTCACTTTTGCTATGTAGAACTTATTTTAGTTAATCTATTTGCATTTGTGGATAACATGGTATTTTTTTTTTTTTTTTATGAATGGAATCCATTATATGTATTAATGTCAGAAGAAATTTCTCGATCCAAATGTTTCCCAATGTGTAATGCATTGTTTTTGTATTGTCCTGACAGCATGTGTGAGTCAATGTATTTAAACTGCAACACTCCATGACATGGAATCTATTGAAAAAATGGCTGCTCTTGTGTGAAGTATTTATTACATACCCCCCAAAACATGTCATTGTTTTTGTTTGTCTTTATAGGCATGATAGTTGCTAGAATTGAAGGTTGTTTTTTAGATCAACCTAGATCTCAATGTCTGTTAGTGTAGATGTACTTAAACATTGAACCCTGGTGTGAGGATTTCTAAATTTAGCTTTGTGTTTTAGCTTTCTGCCTGGTCAGCTATGGATGATTTAGGTTCCATATGGCATTGTGTATTCCTCCTACAATTTGTTGACTTTCACAATTGTGTTGACATTTTTTCATGTTACTGTTTTTATTCATTTTTTTTTATTTTTTTAATCTACCCAGCTTTGATTAGCACTCCATGTTATGCTCAGTTTAAATAATTGTATTTAACTTTAATAATATTAAAACTGTTTGATCAGAGAAAAAATAATTGGAAAAATAGTGTATGTCTGTAGTTTTTCTTAGTTCTAACTGTTTAGAGAATTAATTAAAGATTGGGGAGGGGGTGAAAGTTGTGTTAAATTACATCCTTGTACATATCAAATTAGGGATAGGTGTCAAGTCAGCTGTTAGATTTTAAATTCAGATTCAATTTACTTCGCCATACAACTAAACATAGTATGGTATGGTTGGGTGATAGAGCCCTTGACTACTAGCCTAAAAGTCTCTGGCTTGGATCTTGGACTCTGAGCCCACCCAGCTCTAACAGGTACCTGACTCACATAATGGAAAGTAAAGGCAATTGAACATAGTGCTGACCACACCATCTGATCATTTTATGCCATGATCAAGAAAATTATAGAACTAGACATAGATATGTGAGGTCAAGTAGACGAGACAGGTTTAAATATATCAATCAAAAGATAAAGATAGTTATTTAATGATAACTTATCAGACTTGGTCTAACTATGTCAGTATGTTTGCTTGTGTTTAAAAACACATAAGTGTGCCCTTTATTTCATTGATAGAGAGGTTATTTGCTCTGATAAAATAAATTAAACCAGCAATGGTGTAATTAAAATGGTGTTACTAAGCTTGTGTTATCTTTATCATTAAAGGGAAACAACTGCATTTTTAAGTAAGCCAATTCTGATTTAGGTCAAAAGTTTGTCTACTGTTTTAAGTCTAGCTTATTACAGTCTAGCTTAAGTTTTGCAAAGTATTTTATTAATCCTTGTTTCCTTACCCCTCAACTATGTTGCAAAAATATTCCATATCATCATTCCCTTCTGCCAAAGTGCATTTTATATAAACCATTTGTTGACATGCTTTGTTTCAATTAGCATTCATTGAGTCAAAAAGTTTGTAGAGAAATATCATCCCATTTCATGTAAGATCCAGATTTTTATACATCCCTTTCTTCTGTTGTGTGAAATCATGTTTAGAATTTAAAATTACCAAGCTTATTTTCTTACTTGGTGAATGTTTTTTCTGCTTTTGAGTTGTTTTTTATCAGAAAAGTGTTTTAATTTATCATGCAGGCAATTTAAGCAATTTTATATGAAACTACATACAATCAGTTTTACATCCATTTATTAAAAATGTTCTGACTTTGAATTAGTAAACAACTTGGCATTATGAATCAATCTTTGTGGCACAAAGCAAAACATAAAAAACAGCCTTAATTTGTTTACTTATTTTAGATAGAAATCACATTTTTGAGACGAACTAGTCAGTTTATTCTATTCTTGTTTCATAGACTGGCATTTTGATTGTTTCAAAATGTGTCTAAAAGGCATTCTTAAGTATGTAAAGCTGCATGTGATGACCTGTTATTAGGAAAATAAATCTTGTTCTATGAGGATCGGCACTACTCAAATAGTTGCACCATTTTTAATGTCTACTATAATAAAGTGGTGGGTGGGTGTAAGTTTCTGATTAAACCAACTGATCCATTGTTTTGCACAAGTCTTCTAATTTACTCAGGTCTTTCACAACCACTAGTAGGTTGTTGTTTTTTTTTTGGCTCAATTTGCTGCTTAAAAAAATTATTAGTGATAGCATTCTCCGAGATTATAGAATAGTCAGTATCCAAGAAATTTCAAAGTCTATGGCAATAGTTTCCATAGGTGGTATTAAAATGGTCAGTATCTAATATATACCAAAGGCTATAATAATACTTTTTGTCAGTGGTAATAGAATGGTAAACATCTAAGAAGCTTCAAAAGCTCTGGCTTAAGTTTCATACTAGAATGGTCAGCCCATACTTAAGTTCCCTGCTGGAAGCTATACAGATCACTTTACTGCAATCACAAATGCTACTGTATGCCATTTTTAAAAGTGTTTAGTAATTAGTAGATTCATTAGGTGTTATTTTTAATACTGTGTTGCTATTGTTTCAAGGTTATGGGAAATAAAGGGTAATATTGCATATATTTATAACACTTCACTGTCTAATACATCAATTATTTATATAAATGACTTAATAACTGTTGAGTTTTTGTTTATGTTTATATTTTTTAATTTACTTTTTTTCAATAATTCATACACAAGTCACAATGTTCAAAATAATTTCCATTGTTTCAAATGGCCTGACTTCTCATTACAGCTAACATGAGGACAGTGGAAAGTAAAACTATGTTCTGAGTTCTGTTGACTCAACACAGTATTTTTTTTTAATTAGATGTAAAAAAAAAAATAATCCAAAGGGTTCGAAATATAACTTAGACATTGGTGTATATAGTCATGTCAATATTACCTAACAGTGCAATGTAGCTTTGTCTAGATAATCACCACATTACAAGTGTAAAAAAATAAAGATGTAAACTAAATAGATTTTTGTCTCTTTTAAATTTTTATAAAAATACATTTTTAAAAATGTTGGTTTTTCATACGGCCGTAAAAAAAACTCAGTTTTCGCCCGCATCGCCCAAATGTAGTAGCTTTTCATTTCATATAAGTATAATAAAAAGGGCTCGTATAGTAATAAGCTTGGTACCATTAAAGTAAATTTTAAGCCCTCTAATTGTGCATTATTTTTATAATTTATTGACCCCCACCCCCCTTATCTGATTTGTAAATTTTTCTCTTAATTAAAAGACTTAAACTGTAATTAATTATTTATTTAACAAGAATGCTTATTTTTTTATATATATATTTTGATATTTTTGCCTTAGTGTCACCTCCCCTACCTCAAATGGTGTCACGCGGTTCGGTCCTCACCCCCCCCCCCCCCCCCCCCCCATCCCATTTTATCGCTACGCTTCTGCAAACAACTACCTGTTGTTGAATAAGTGCATTGGAAGAAAGAGTTAAGGACAATCTATTGTTTGCAAACGACTATTCAATATGCTGAGAGGGGGGGGGGGGGGTTCTCTTCAAAACATGAGTCGTCTGGACGTATAGATGGGTCAAATTTCCAGATAAATACTGGAATGACAGTTCTCTATTTTGAATCTGAGGTGGTAAGCTTTTTCTAAAGTTAAAAGCCAATTACTAAGCAATGCTACCATAAGCGGCACTAGACTCCCTGTGCATGGTGTAAGTAGGGGGATGGTTAATGTACAATCTTACTGGAATCAAAGTACATCTTGGCCTACTTGTATCCAACGCTCACTGAAGATCATTTCGAAATAATGGAAAAATAGCTTGTTAAATGAGCTGGTTGCATACGCTTATCTTGTAGCTAATTTTATTTCATTGTAGTTGTAGGCTATATATCAGCATTTACCAAAATGGCTAATTTTATTCGTTATAGACTGTTTTGCTATTTAGTCCACGATTGGGCACATGAAATAATTGGGAGGGTGTGGGGCGCTCTTACATTTCCGGCTGGGGAGGTGACGCTTGTTGAGAGAGGGAGGCGGTGTCACTAGTGTCAGACTCTCCGTCGAACAGACGTGTGAAAAACTTTCTGCTGTCTACCCCACTGCCGTATACGTTTATGTGTCAAGAGGCCTTTCAGCAATTGCTTTTGCGTTGTTTTACTATTCAGCCACACGCTTCTTATGTGATTACCAGTGGCGGATACGGCGTAGGGTAAACTAGTTTTAGGGTCCCCTTGAGTTTCTCGGATTAGCAAAAGAAGTATGAGGGCTATCTCAGGGAATTAGCCAGGGTTTTCTTGTCTCATAAGATAGCGTTCAACGTCCACAAAAATATGACTTATACTTTACAAATAGGCTACCCGGCTATGCACCCATTATAGTAAGTCACATCTCGGTCCCCATAGCACCTGGCGTTCGCAGATTGGGCGTCCGTGAAAAAGGTCACAGGTTAAACGTGATTCAGCGGTCGAACTGCACCGTCATCCTTTGCGGTCGTATCAATCAGTATGTCATGGCACCGTCATGAGCACTATGGCGCCTACATTCGTTTTAAAGAGCGCAATACACTATGGATACGTTTGGTTAATATATTCACTAAATCGAAACAGAAAACTAAGTGCCTGCGAAGAATAAAAGGCATCCATTAGCCTCACACTATCTTCATTAATCGGCTAGTGTGAGAGATGGAAATGAAGCATTTTCCGTAATAATAAAAAAAAACAAAATGAGGTAGCGCTGGATGGGAGACGTGGAGAAGCAGCGGTCAAAGGCAGGACTGTATTGTGGTACTGTCAGGAAAATTGACGATGACCGGCAAAAGTGGAGGGTGCTTTCTGTGGAGGTCCCATGTGTTTCAGGTACAAAACGGAAAGATGCTGAATTCAAACCGCGCCCCGGCAGTATTGTACGGTTGATTACATCAAGTCCCCCATCACGTTCTTATCACATATTGTCCCCTGATTAGGTGTTTTGAAAATTTGGTCAAGTTTACTACCTTAATCAACAGTCATGTGACATTGGGCGCCTAGGCTTCCATATGAGCACTGTGGCACCTTTAGTGAGCACCTTTAATGAGCGCCACACACATTGGATACGCTGGGCTACTATACTTTATGAATAATCTAAACAATATTTCACAGCTTGTTCCCCTGCGATAACGTAACCTGTGATTCCTTAGAGCGTTCTTCTACGCCCATGATTTCTAGGCTGAAGGATATTAAATCTACACAGCTCCAACTTGGGCGTTTAGGTAGTAGTTTGAACAAACAAGCTCTCCAATAAGTATGATCATCCAAGAAATACATTAGAACTAGGTCACACGACTAAAAATACATGATTGTAAAATACGTTGAGTTTCATTTTTTCTGATATCACAGCAGCGTGCGACGGGTACGCTAGTATAAAACTGAAGAAAGCAATCATTTTATTGTTGCTTTATTTAGAAAAGATTAGGTGTCTAACAAATTTAGTATCAGTGTACCAAAAATTACACGACGGGGTAGCTAGCTTCAGTTGCAATGCCACACTGGTTGTCTTTGTTTCTCGACATCCAGATGTAGCCTTCCTGTCCCCATGATGTGCCATAGCTGTCAGATACAAACAAAACAATGAGCTCACCAAGTCTAACTAACACAGTACTAACGTTTTAACATGAATTGGCTGATTTTGTTTGTATATTTACTCAGGTGATTCAAGGTTCTGGTCCAATAGCATTTACCTGTTTTTAACGATCCAGTAGTCGCCGCCACTGCTGTCAGTGTCGAACCCAACAACTAAGACACCATGATTAAGATGAGTAGAGTGGCAGTCTGGTTCGTCATACACACCACCTCCGTATTGATGGAACGAATCATGGCTGGTGTCTATAGCAGCACTGACGGGTCCGACCTATTTAATCAAGTTTTAATATTAATGCATTAAAATAATGTATTACTTTAGAACAGTCTACGCCTAGTTTACAGTAAATGAAGGTAATATGTACCGTGGCTACGACTTCACGGAGAGCATCTTCACGTCCGCTTGGAACATCTACGTAGGACTGAACAGTAGCTCCAACTGTGGCTGTCTTAAAGTTGCAGGTATTTTCCTGTGAGTTTTGTAAAACGTAACAACAAGCTTACAATATTTATAGTTTGTCTAAGATTGCATTCTTGTTTTTATTTATTTATTTTCTGTGGGAATCACAACCTCTAAGTAAATCAGAGTCAATGGCCTCGATGGCGTATAACCAGTTGACACGTATCCTTAATTGTGATGGAGGCGTGGTCGAGTCGGCAAAAATCTCATGGTTGATAAATCCGAAAAAGTCTCGAGTTCAAACCCTTTTGCAGGTAAGGCTCGATCCCTTCCAACACTAAAAATTAAGAACGCAGAAAAAGTAGAAGTAATAAATCGGGAGTGATCTCCCCTAAACTTTCTCGAATATTCTTATATAAAACAACAGGGGATGGGAACTCGGGATATATTTATGATTTTTAATCCATTTTAAATACTTAAACTTTTTAAAATAAAATAGAATCTCATAGAAAAAAGTATTGCACACCAAGCGAACGCCGAATAAAGATGTTCATAATGGTGCGAAATATTATTAGTACTTTATAAATTTAGATCCGTTTTTGAGAAATCGGAAATAGCGTAAATTAGTACTTCCCGTCAACGGAAATTACTCAAAATTTAACAGAACGAAGAAAATTAGATTTTTTACTTACATGTGAAATTTTATTTATCTATCTGAAATAGTACTCAAGTTATAGTTCTGAAAAATTCAAAGTAAGAAAAGTACCACTTCCGGTTATCGGAAATCGCTCAAAAGTTGATACGGATCTACGATTTTGATAAAATACTTATATATGAAATTTCATCAACCTAGCTGTAACGGTACTCAAGTTTCGTGTTTACACACGGACACACAGACAGACAGACAGACACACAGACATACGGACAAGATTGCAAAATTATGTTTTTCCGTATCAGTGAGATGTAAAACGGTTAGATTTGTAAAAATCTCGATTTTTTTTGCACGATTACAAGACTTTCTCTATACTTCGTATATACGAGAAAGTAAAAATGTTTAGAATAAAACGGCTACAGGACATTACCCCCCCCCCCCCGGAAATTACCCCCGGACATTCCCTCCCCCTATTTATACCCCGGAGCAATTACCCTCCTGTCAATTACCCCCATGTCATTTACTCCCCTAACCCTAACCCTAAACCTAACCCAAATCCTAACCCTAACCCTAACCCTAACCCTAACCCTAACCCTAAACCTAAACCTAAACCTAAACCTGAACCTAAACCTAAACCTAAACCTAAACCCAAACCCAAACCCAAACCCAAACCCCAACCTCAACCTCAACCTCAACCTAAACCTAAACCTAAACCTAAACCTAAACCTAAACCTAAACCTAAACCTAAACCTAAACCTAAACCTAAACCTAAACCTAAACCTAAACCTAAACCTAAACCTAAACCTAAACCTAAACCTAAACCTAAACCTAAACCTAAACCTAAACCTAAACCTAAACCTAAACCTAAACCTAAACCTAAACCTAAACCTAAACCTAAACCTAAACCTAAACCTAAACCTAAACCTAAACCTAAACCTAAACCTAAGCCTAAACCTAGCCCTAGCCCTAGCCCTAGCCCTAGCCCTTGCCCTAGCCCTAGCCCTAGCCCTAACCCTAACCCTAACCCTAACCCTGTCCGTGAGGGGGAGGGGTAATGTCCTACCGAGCGGGGGGTAATTTACAGGGGGTAATTGACAGGGGGTATATACTCCGGGGGTAATATCGGGGGGAAATGTCCCGGGGGGTAATTGACGGGGGAGGGATGCACTGTTCCCGAATAAAACACTTACACAACTACTGTTTGATATTGTAGAAAATGTCATGGTCAACTGCGTGTGTAGGGGGATCGCGGGTAGAACGAAGTGGCAAATCATCCTTTCTCTATTTCGTCTTTGCATTTTGTGATATCAACATACGCGTATGTTCTGACAAAACGAATTCGTCCTTAAAACATATTTCTTTAGCTACGCTACAGTACTGTTACATGTGCCACTATTTTCAACTCGGAAACTTATGTTACATTAAGTTTGTGTCGGCTCATGGAATCACCTTTAGCTGGTATGGGTAGCTCTCCTCCGTGTCAATGCCCGTGTTATCTATGATGTATTGGAAGGCCTTCTGCATCGATCCACCCTGGCACCCGTGGTTGCCTGTCAGTCATAAATAAGCATACAATGTCCTTTACAGCTACTTGCCTTATTAAACAAAAGATAATGTAACACGTTTTAAGAAATGGAATGCTTTAAGAAATTCAATTACTAATGAAGTATCTTTTGTTTGGTTTAAGGTTCAGATAAAAATATGTTTGAAATTATATTAAACACATTTCTATCAGATAAGATTTAGTAACGATTTTTAATATTCACGTAAATCAATATAAATATTACAAATCGTCTTTGCGCAGGGCGACACAATTATTTTACAGGGTGTCTGTGTTAAAGACTGCAAAACTTTGTTGGATAATCAATGAGGGTATTGCAATCGATTAACTTAATTAGCAGTGTCGCCACAGGAACTCCAAGATAGATTTTTTACAGCCCGATAATCAAAGTTTTTTTGTTTACAAAACTTTGCAAATAAAGGTTTTAAATAGCAATGCAAATTTAAACCACATGACCTAGTTCTGCTATTTTTGCTTACAATTTGTACAATAAAATTTATATTGGCCTATCGAATAGCAGAATGATATAGCTTATGTCGTCATTACCCGTGAAAACCAAATTGTTTTTGCTTTTTTAAAATTATTTTTATTTGTTACTGAAAGTATTAAAACATTTTTAAAAAACCAAACAGACTGAGAATTTTATAACCATATTAATTTTAACTACGCCGTGCATGATTTTTAAAATATTTAATGGGCCTCTCAAATACCTTTGAGATTTGTTTCGCTCGGGTTCATTAACTTTAAAAAAATTAATCAATGTTTTCTTTGTAAAAGAATTTCAAATATTGTCTATTTAACTTGAACAATTCTCAAGTTCAAATCTTCACTCAGAAAGAAAGTAAAAGAACCACCTCATGTTATCGGAAATAGTTCAAAACTACCGAAAACACGCACATAAAATGTAAAATTTATTTGTGAAGTTTTGTCTACCTAACGTAAACGGTACTGAAGTTGTTGGTTTTTTAAAAACCGGATGAAGCGTTAGTACCACTTCCGGTTACCACACAAAAGTTGGCACAAAACTACAATTTTGATATAATACCCATATACGACATTTCGTCAGCATAACTGAAAAGCACTCAAGTGATCGTGTTCACAAACAGACAGACATTCAGAAAGACAAACAAAAAGACAGATTAAAAAAATAGACAGAGAGAAAAGTGAAAAATCCATGCAACACCTACCCCAACCAGTCGAACAGTCTATCAGGTTAGATTCGGATAGTTCGACTAATCTGCCCGTCAGTTTAAAGTTCTGACCCTCTAGACCTCCCGTAGAGGAGAAAGCCCAGCCGGACTCACAACAACCCTGGTCCTTGACCCTTGTTACGTAACCTTCTTTACGCCAATCGACAGCGGAAGGGAGGACGACCCTCAACAGACCACTCACGGAGTAGTTCACTGGGGTCAAAGGTTGATTTGAAAGGAACCCCTTCATTGTTGCTCTGAATTCTTCGTGACTCTGTCAAATGCAGTTAAGTACAATTTGGTTTCGAAATTAATATAATAAATTAAATATATTAACCTATATAATAATAAGATATTAAATGTACTAAAATAAGGGGTGGGGGCAAAGGCGAGCTTGTTTTCTTTGATATTTTCTTTGAAAATATTTTTGCTTTAACAGTAGCTCGTGAAGGACGATTATCCTCACCCTCAATTTTCGATTATAACTCTAGAATCAATGACGTTATTTTATTGAGTGTACAGTTCCGGCTTTCAAACTGTACATTTGTCGTGTGAAAATTTCCTACGTGTTGCATGTGATGCCACGGTATTTTTAAAAATTCCTTGTGTGTTTCTTTTTCTAGCGTTCCTGACAGACGGACGGACAGACAGACGGACAGACAGACAGACAGACAGACAGACAGACAGACAGACAGACAGACAGACAGACAGACAGACAGACAGACAGACAGACAGACAGACAGACAGACAGACAGACAGACGGACGGACGGACGGACGGACGGACGGACGGACGGACGGACGGACGGACGGACGGACGGACGGACGGACGGACGGACGGACGGACGGACGGACGGACGGACGGACGGACGGACGGACGGACGGACGGACGGACAGAATTGTGCAACTATTATAGATTTACTCAAAATCATTTATTTTCTCCCTTTTTAGTGCATTATTACATAGAAGCTTTTCTTATTAAATTGTTTAATGCATTTTTAAATATGTTCAGTTCATTTAAATGCATATTACTATTAATGTTTTCTTATTCTTAAGTCAATACATTTTTGCTAATAAAGTGAGTGGATATTAAAGAAATGCACTATCAGTGTCTCGAAGTAAATTTAAAAGAAAATGCAAATTATGTTGTTGTTTTATTTCAACACTACTTACATAAATGATAGCAAAACCGTTTACACATAGATGTAATGAACTAACCATATCAGAGTATTTGTTCTCCTTGAGGTAATAACTCTTGAGACCTTTAGCGTACAACTCGTTGTGTGCTTCAATGGTTTTCACGTTTGATTCCCAGATGTACCGTCTGGTAAGGTCATCTTCTCCTGTGTAGGTTTTGTTGTACTTGGCTTTAAAGATGACCCAGTTGGCTTCCATACTGGCAGACGTCATGCAGACGGCCAATGCCAGAACCACTAGTCTCAGCATCTGGTCAAGAGTTAAGAATTTGAAGTCGGACATTTTGAAAGTAATGTAAGAAAAAACGCGTGAAGGTGGTGTTGCAGAATATAATATAACGAGCCGACCCGCTGCGTATCATACGCCGCTATTTAGTTGCTTTTTTTCTACTTTTCAGTAATTTATAATTTGTGAATTCGACAGTACCAATGCTGCCACTGAAAATATTTGCTTAAAAACACTAACCCCCCCCCCCCCCCCCCCCGCCCCCACGCGTGAAAGCAGCCTCCTCTTAGTTACCTCCTCTAAGTTTAAAATCGTTTCAAACTAAATTATCTGCCCCTAATAGCCGTCACCAAACCCGTCTCTATGATTGTAAAATGTAAACAGCGTGACCACAGCTCATCAGACAATGTGGGGGTGGGGTGGGGGTGGTAGTGATAGTGATAGAGAGAAAGAGAGGGGCAGTGGCGTAGCCAGGATCGTCTCAAGGGGGGGGGGGTTCCAATTTTTACCCGGGGACAAACTTTCGATTTGCACCCCCCCCCTCAAACTTTCGATTTGCACCCCCCCCCCTCAAACTTTCGATTTGCACCCCCCCCCCTCAAACTTTCGATTTGCACCCCCCCCCCCTCAAACTTTCGATTTGCACCCCCCCCCCCCTCAAACTTTCGATTTGCACCCCCCCTCAAACTTTCGATTTGCACCCCCCCCCCCTCAAACTTTCGATTTGCACCCCCCCCTCATACTTTTTATATATACCGAGGGGTCTATGGGGGGGGGTTATGACCCCCCCTAACCCCCCCCTGCCTACGCCACTGGAGAGGGGACTGCAAGGAGGCGCTTGCAGCTTGTTTTCTAACGGCTCCCAGAAGAGAATTATATATAAATATAGATACACATATAAACCCCTCCTACTCCGCATCTACACAGTTACATGACATTTCTTTTACAGCCCAAAGCTTTATATTTTACTAGCGTATCTCTCGCGCGTTGGGTGCATAATTTCAAGAAAGGATATTCACAGAAACTACACCCTCCTCACCCTTATTACATCTCATTACTCCCTTATCTTGACAGTGAAAGTTTTTACTTTCCTTGTGTTTTCTCTAGAGCCTTCCCGACAGACAGACATGCAGACAAATAGAATAGCATAGCTAGTATGTTAGATTTCAAAAAGTTTAATGTAAGTAATTTAAAAATTGATTACAAACATGTCTATACCCCTTAATACAATCCCCGTTGTCTTAAATGAATATTAGGCATACTGCATAGGTTTTCAAAAAACATGAAAATTTGAATGCTTAATTAATTGATATGTAGAGAGCTTAAATTTAAACAATAATGGTAATTTTAGAGATATAGCTGAAATGTTCGCAATTTATAACTTGAAAGGTAATTAGAACTACAAAAGTTATAACTCATAAGTTATATTACATTGACTTTTAAATATTTTACTACAATTTTTTAAGGATACATACCTTAATAATCAACACAAATCTTACTCAAATGAATGATATACTTCGTCATTTTCTGTTTGTGGGAATTTTTTTTCGATATATAGCTCATATACGGAGAATTTACCTAGCGGTCACTTTTTAGCCCTCGCCGAAAAACGATGACTATTTGCAAAACCACTTTTAGTGTACTTTGGCTCTATACATCTGGCTCATTTTTCCATAAACCTGGGTGAATGAATCGGCCTTATGTCAAAACTTTCGGTCAGCCTCTGCTCGCACGGCGAGGGCCAGTAGCGTAGCGAGGGGGGGGGGGGACATATGTCCCCGGGCGCCGAGCTTAGGGGGCGCCAAAATGGGTTGGAAAAATAAATTGAAAGGTTGAGAGGGGTGCAAATTGAAAGTTTGAGAGGGGGGGGGGGTGCAAATCGAAAGTTTGAGGGGGGGGGGGGGGGGGTGCAAATCGAAATCTCGAGTGGGGGGTGCAAATCGAAAGTTTGAGGGGGGTGCAAATCGAAATCTCGAGGGGGTGGGGGGTACAAATCGAAAGTTTGAGGGGGGGTGCAAATCGAAATCTCGAGGGGGGGTGCAAATCGAAAAGTTTGTCCCCGTGCGCCGGGAAGGGTCGCTACGCCTCTGGCGAGGGCTAAAAAGTGACCACGAGTGACATTCTCCTTACAAGAGATATATATTTATAAATTGCTGTCCGATCCCCCTGATATTTTGCGAGGTAGTAGACCTATTGATTTATAAATTACGAACACCCCAACAATTTTGCTAAAAACGGACTATATACAACGAACAACTACAACAATTTCTTTAAAATTAACATTACTGTTTAAACTTAAGCATTACACATATCAGCCAAACTCTAATTAATTAAGCATTTAAATTCTCAATTGTTTTTAAAAACCTATGCGAAGCTAGGCAGTATGCATAGTCTATATATATAAAGCACAGTGGTCGGGTGCCCGATAGGACACTTCCCGGCGCCGCAGACGCGTCAAATTTGGCAGGATAATGCAATGGGTCAGAACACGTGGGCCTGTGCCGGTTGGCCGAAAAGTCATCGAAAACAGGGTCAAAACTGACCTCGACTGACGGCACCTTATATGAGCTACATATCGAAAAAAAAAATTCTCAGGTAGACCGACCCTCGGGGGTGGCAAAAAACACCATGATATATTCGGGAAAACTCCGGAAGACATTTAGAACTGACCGGTCCAAATTTTCCATAAATAAAGATTGTTAATTTTCTGAAAAACGATGACTGTTTTCAAAAAAATATTCTGGGACTTTGGCTCTGTACATCTGGCACATTTTTTTTCCGCCTGGGTAAATGAATCGGCCTTATGGACAAACTATCAGTCAGCCTCTGCTCGGGCGGCGAGGGCTAAAAAGTGACCGCGAGTGAAATTCTGACAATATGAGCTATATATCGAAAAAAAATTCCAACGTAGGAACCCTTTGAAAACTCTTAGATGTACATCGGCCCCAGGGTGTCAGATAACAAATAGTGCTACCCTCGGGAAAACCCCGGAACAGTGTTTTAACTGACCAGAGGCTATATTTCCTTATATAACATAGTACTGTTTTTGTAAAAAAAAATACAAATATATGGACGTACAAACCCATTCAAAACTCCTGAGTTCATAGAAATACCTGCGGGGGTCACTATAAAATAGGCATTATCTTCGGGAAAATTTTGGAAGGCAGTTAGAACTGACCGGTCTGAATTCCCTATATAAACATTGTTAATTTGGTGAAAAACGATGACTATTTTCAAATCAAATTTTAGGGTTTTTTAGCTCTGTACATCTGGCTAATTTTCCAAACTCCTGAATAAATGAATCGGCCTTATGGTTAAACTATCGGTCAGCCTCTGCTCGCACGGCGAGTACTAAAAAGTGACCACGAGTGAAATTCTCCTTATATGAGCTATATATCGAAAAAAAATTCCCAAGTAGGAACCCTTTAAAAACTTTTGGGGATGTACATCTATCCCAGGGGATCAGGAAAAAAATTGTGCTACCCTCTGGAAAATTCCGGAACAATGTTTAAACTGACCAGAAGCCGTATTTCCTTATTTAAACATAATACCGTTTTTTGTAAAAGAAAAAAAATACAAATATCTTGAGGTATAAACCCATTCATAATTCCCGAGGTCGTAGATATACGCGCGGGGGTCAATATAGAATAAGTGTTATCTTCGGGAAAATTCCGGAAAGCTTTTAGAACTGACGGGTCCGAATTCCCTATATAAACATTTTTAATTCGGTGAAAAACGATGACTATTTGCAAAACCACTTTTAGGGTACTTTGGCTCTGTACATCGGGCTCATTTTTTCCACAAACCTGGGTAAATTAATCGGTTTTATGCATATAGTATCGGTCAACATCTGCTCCCACGGCGATGGCTAAATAGTGACCACCAGTGAAATTCTACTTACATGAGCTATAAAAAAAAAAAAAACTTGCCGAAAGATCCCACTGAAATTTCGTTAGGTCGTAGACCGACCATGAATGGTAACAAAAAAAATTCCCGTCGGAAAAAAACCCATTATGGTCGTTAAAATTGTGCAGATTCCGTATTTTCTTATATAAGCATAGCAACTGTTAGTGAAAAAAGTAAACAAAGACTACGTCATTCGTTCAATTTACAATGGAGGTAATTTTTTTAAATAAATATTTTTTGAACAATTTCATACTATTTTAAGCATAAAAGAAAATGACGAAGTATAGTATTCATTTCAGTAAAAATTAAATTGTAAAAATTAATGGTAATTGTCAATATAAAATAAATTATGAGTTATACATTTCAGGGAACCTCTGTAGTTATTTTATTTTGAGTCATAAATTGCGAACATCACATCAATTTCTTTAAAACGAACTTTAAACAACAAACAACATCTATCTATCTATCTATCTATCTATCTATCTATCTATCTATATACTACTAAAACTCAAGTTTGTTTACATGTTTGAATATTTATTTTTTTGTTTTTTTTTTTGTTTTTTTTTTTTGTTTGTTTGTCTGATTGAGTATTGTGAATAGTTCTACTCTATGTGGACAGCTGTAAAATAGTATGTAGGTAGAGAAAAATTTTTGTTTAAAGACAGACTGTTAACCACAAATTTATTTAAAGACGTTAATTAATTTATTGATTTATTCATAGGTAGATTAACCACATTTATTTTAAAAGATTAGAACAACCACTAGACTCGACGAAATAGTGACGTCACATTTTTGTTTACTTTTTTAGTACAATAAAATGGCGGCTTCCATCATAGGCCCATTCAAAAGTTTATCGCGTTCTAAATCTAATTTTCTGTCGGCCATAACTTTAACAATACGTCCGTTTGCTGTTTTTATTACGTTCCAACACTTATATAAATTTGCAACTGTCTTTTCATTTAGTTTTACAATAAATTTCTCTAGCTCTACAATCTGACCAAGAAAGTTATTTATAGATCTAAAAATATAATCATGTGGCCAAGCAAGTTATTTATAGATCTAGATCTAGAATCTAGGTCAAACAAAAGATTAATTAGATACATACCAAAGATTAATTA